CAGGCGGCGTTCCGCCTGCTAGGCAGCGTTCTGTTTGCCTCCTCTGGAAGGCATGACACGTCTGCCAAGCCCGTACCTGGCAATGGCAGTTTGTGGTGGCAACCTGCGCCTGCCACACCTGCCCTGGCAGTAACAGCAAGGGCGATGGCGGTTATGCCAGGTATGACCAGACTCCAACATAAAAGAACCCGAACCCACACAGAGAAAAGGTATTGAAGCTTAAGCACTTTGAGCACTCTTACTCTCTACTCTCTTTGAGATTTCCTCCAGTTCTAACTTAGCCATCGGAGTGTTCCCATCGGGACAACGCCCCGGGAACCCTTCACTTTTTCCTTCCTCTCAGGTGTCGTTCGTTCCAGTCAGAAGCTAGGTCACAGCTAGCAAGGAGTGCCCAAATCGTGCAACATCATTTGGCGTCGTCTGTGGGAAACGCTTCAAAAAGCCTCCCTTTAATCTCTACGAAACTTCCCTCTTTTGCTCACTAGCAGCACTAACACCCATGGCTTCTTCTAGCAACTCCGAACGCCAGAGCACCGTGGAGGACACTGGCACTAGAAGGGGGGCAACTCCAGCTCGGTCATCAGCCCACAAAACCGCCAGAGAAGAGTTAAACCCTCTGAAGCGGCCAAGGGTGGAGGAGCCGATCTTCTTCACTGAAGACGATGCGCGAGGAGTCCACTATCCCCACGATGACGCGCTCGTCATCAAGATCAAGGTCAATGACTTCAAAGTCAAACGTGTCCTGGTAGATTCGAGCAGCTCGCAGACATCCTTTTCAAGGCAGCCTTCGATCAGCTTTAGATCCCGGAGGGTGACCTAAAGCCCGCAAGCACTCCACTAGTGGGATTCAGCGGCGAGGAGGTCAGGCCGTTAGGGAAAGTCACTGTGCCGGTGGAGGTCGGTACTTGGCCCAGTGTGGTAAGGCTCAATCACGAGTTCCTGGTGGTTGCAACCCTCTCTCCATACAACGCGATAGTAGGCCGACCCATCACCCACGTCCTGCGAGCAGTAGTCTCCACCTACCACCTAGCGATGAAGTTCCCTACGGGCTTCGGAGTCGGAGTGGCGCGGGGTGATTAGCTCGAGTCTCGTAAATGCTACATAGCCGCCCTTAAAGGAAAGGCCAAGGTAGCTGACGACCTCGAACTGGGATGACCCACAGAGCAGCTCGCGGAGCGGGCTACGCCTACTGAGGAGACCGTCCCCATCCCGACTTCGGCAGATGATCCGGCTCGGGTACTTCAAATTGGCGCTTCTATCGAGAAGCCCCTGCGTTCTCAATTGGAAAGCTTCTTGCTCAAAAACTTAGACATTTTTGCATGGTCGGCGACAGAAATGCCCGGCATGGACCCCGACATTATCACTCACAGACTTAACACTGATCCTTCAGTTAGGCCTGTTATACAAAAGAAGCGCAACCTAGCCCCAGAATGATGGAGGGCAGTTGATGAGGAGGTCGGGAAACTCCTTACAACCGATTTTATCAGGGAAGTCCATTACTCGAGCTGGGTAGCCAACCCCGTTCTGGTGAAAAAGGCAAACAGTAAGTGGCGCATGTGCGTCGACTACACTGACTTGAACCGGGCTTGCCCAAAAGACTGCTTTCCACTTCCCAGGATCGACCGCCTAGTGGACACGACCTCGGGGCATGAGTTGCTGAGCTTCTTGGACGCCTATTCGGGCTATAACCAAATAAAAATGGATCCGGCAGACGAGGAGAAGACCACCTTTATAACCGAATTTGGCCTGTACTGCTACAAGGTCATGCCCTTCGGGCTGAAGAACGCTGGGGCTACTTTTTAGAGACTTGTAAATAAGCTGTTTGAGCCACTTGTTGGCACAAAAGTAGAGTTATGTCGACAACATGGTTGTCAAGACCCAAGTTTCACATGAATTAATACAAGATTTACACTCAGTCTTTGAAATTCTGCGTAGATTTAATATGAAGTTAAATCCTAATAAGTGCGTCTTCGGTGTCACCTCAGGTAAATTCCTAGGGTTCATCGTCAACCGGCAACGCATTGAGGCCAACTCGGACAAAATCAAGCCATCCTGGAAATGAGACCGCCCCGAAAATTAAAAGAGGTCCAGAAGCTGACTGGCCGGTTGGCCGCCTTAAATCGCTTTTTATCCAAGTCCGCAGATCGCTGTCTGCCTTTCTTTTAAGGCCATAAAAAGCAAAGGCTTTGAATGGATTGAAGAGTGCCAGCTCGCGTTCGACGAGCTCAAAAGGCACCTCGCCAGCATCCCAGTCTTGATCCGGCCCAAAGTGGGCAATGTTTTAGAGCTGTACCTCTCGGCGAGTGACGACGCGGTCAGCTCGGTACTAATAAGAGAAGTAGATCGGGTCCAATGACCCGTCTATTATGTTAGTAAAATGTTGTAGGGAGCAGAGACGAGATACCCGGAGATAGAAAAGTTAGCATATGCCCTAGTTATAGCAGCCTGAAGGCTTCGTCCGTACTTCCAAGCTCACACCATCGTTGTCCTTTACAATAAACCTCTGAGGCAAGTTTTGCTCAAGCCCGAGGTCTCGAGAAGGTTGACAAAGTGAGCCATCGAGCTCAGTGAGTACGAGCTCCAGTATAAGCCGCGAACCGCTACCAAGGCCCAAGCCTTGGCAGATTTCATTGCAGAATGCACCTTTAGCTCCGAAGTCGCCAGGCCGGTAGAACGTGAGGCCCCTAGTACGGGAGAGCTCGGAGTTCCTGGACCGGTTGAACTCGAGCACCGTGAAGTAGCAACCAGCGTGGCATCTCTCCTAGTTAGTCCAAGCCCGAACTGGAATGAAGAACCCTAGATCCTTCACGTAGATGGCTCGTCAAATCGGCAGGGCAGCGGAGCTGGGATCGTCTTGTATGGACCAAGCGTTGTGAAACTGGAGTATGCGCTACGCTTTGAGTTCATGGCATCCAACAACGAAGCAGAATATGAGGCGCTGCTAGCTGGGCTGGCCCTTGCAAAGGAAGTGAAAGCCAAGCACATCGTCATCTGTAGTGACTCCCAACTCGTGGTAAATCAAGTCCTGGGTGAGTACGAAGCTCGCGAACCAACTATGGTAGCATACTTAGCCAAAGTGAGAGAGACTCTGCTCAACTTCCAGTCACATTTCATCCGGCAAATCCCGAGATCAGAGAACGCTGAGGCCGATGCCCTGTCACGGTTAGCCAGCACGGGGGACAACACCATGAGCGCTGTGTACATAGAAAACTTACCTCAGCCTAGCATTCTCAGGGGGGCAGAGGAGGTTGCTCCCGTCGTTCAAGTAGAGCCGAGCTGGATTGATCCACTCACGAGCTCTCTGCTATGTGGGGCCCTCCCCGCAGACCGTAATGCCGCCAGGAGGGTAGAGCGCCAGGTAGCCAAATACGTCGTGATAGACGAACGGCTGTGCCGAAGATTCTACACACTCCCCTACCTGCGCTGCCTGCGACCCTCGGAAGCCGAGCTCGTCCTCCGCGACACTCATGAAGGCCTGTGCGGTGGACACTTGGGGGGCAGGGTCCTCACTCAGAAAGCACTACGACAAGGGTATTACTGGCCAACCATGAAAGCAGATGCGAACGAGCTTGTCAAAAAATGTGACAAGTGCTAGAAGCACGCTAACATCCACCACCGGCCTGCTGCCGATCTGAAATACCTCACTAGCCCTTAGCCATTTGCACACAATGGGGGATTGACCTACTTGGGCCATTCCCACCAGCAACAGGGCAAAGAAAGTTCCTAGTGGTGGCAGTGGACGATTTCACAAAGTGCGTCGAAGCTGAACCTGTCACGACGATCACAACTCGGAACGTGCAGAACTTCTTTTGGAAGAACATAGTGTGTCGCTTCGGATTACCTCGGGTACTGATCTCCGATAATGGTAAGCAGTTCGAGGACATCAAGTTGCAGAACTGGTGCCGAGACATGGGAATTCAGCAGAACTTCACCTCAGTGGCGCACCCTCAGGCGAATGGCCAAACGGAAGTTACGAACAGGGCCATCCTTCGAGGACTGAAAGCGCACCTGGACCGAGCTAAGGGACTATGGACGGACGAGCTGCCTAGTGTACTTTGGGCCTACCGTACCACGGAAAGGACTGCCACGAGAGAAACTCCCTTTAACCTTACATACGGTACCGAAGCAGTCATCCCAACCGAGATTGAAGTCCCCTCGCTGAGATCGAAGGCATACGAAGATAGAGCAAACGAAGACGAGCTATGTACCAACCTCGACCTGCTAGATGAAGTGCGGGACCTCGCAAACATTAGGACCGCGGCCTATCAACAAAGGATAGCTCGGTACTATAACGCCAAGGTCAAAAAGCAAACTCTCCGCATTGGTGACTTGGTTCTCCACAAGGTTATGGTGCCTGAGCCCGACGTTGGCAAGTTCGGTCCGAACTGGGAAGGGCCCTACCGAGTAAAGCGAGTACTCGAGGAAGGAACATACGAACTCGAAACCCTAGAAGGGAAACAAGTACCTCGGGCGTGGAATATCATCAACCTAAGACTATATTACCCGTGAACCACCGAACTGAGTGAACCGTGAGCCACTCCCTTCTAGCCTTAGGGCCAATCCGCCGAACTAAGCGACAACCTCGGCAGCATGAGGTCCAGTCACCCCCCAGTAGGGGCAAACTCCAGGAAAACAGTTTAGAGTGACCATGGCTCACTCCCTCCAGCCTAAGGGTCAACACACTTGGTTAACTGAAGACCAAAGGCTTAGCACACCAAAGACCAAAGGCGTCCTGAGAACAAACTTTCTGACTCCTAGCCTACCTCGGTATATGTACTAGAGGTAAACGCCAACCTAAATGGCCAAGTAGGCAGATCGGGCACGCGCCTTACTATGCCTACCTCGGCGTACGTCGCTAAAACCTGATGACAACGGTAAATGGTCGCTCACCTCGGGAACCGAATTTACTAACTCAACAGCTCGGGTAAGGCAAACACTCCGGCAGAAATAAATTACACAAGCGCTTAATAGGATATACATATATACTCTCATTGCATGAGTGTAATTTCATTACAGAATCCCAAGTACAAGGAAACAAGAAAAGAAAATACAAGTACACGCACAACTACTTGGAAGGCTTATCAGCCTTACTCGGGGCTGTTAGCTGGGTCGGTAGTATCGGCCTCCTCGTTGCCACCCTCATCGTCGGAGTCTAGGTCCTCTGTGGTCTGACGGGCCATGTCATCAGTAATTTTATAAGTGGTGAAGGCACTTACGTCAAGGTCAAGGTATGCGCGCCTCATCCACCACCTACCGAGCTTGAACTGCCTACGATAGGCCTGCGACATCACGTCGTCAAACCTAGACGATTTGACATAGTCGATGACGGCCTGGACCTTCGCCTCTCCGAGAGCTTCATCGAAGATCTCGGTCTTCTCCTTGATGTCAGCTTTGAGGTACTCCACCTCATGCTCCAAGGCCCCCTTGGCTTCCTTGAGCCCCTGCACCTCAAGCTGTGAAGCCCTCTGACACGCCTTGAGACTCTCCGCCTCGAGCTTCAAGGCTTCCTGACCTGCTCTGAGCCTGTTCACCTCGGCCTTCAGCCTAATCCTCTCGCGGGCCAGCTCCTCCTTCTCCAACAGCAGGGCTTCGATAAAGCTCTTCTGGGTGGTAGCGTCACTTTCCAACTGGTGAATCTTGCCCCAAGCTGCCCTCAGCTCAGTGTGAGCCGCGCTAGATGACTCCTCAGCAGCCAGAGCACGCCTCAAGTGTTTGTCGAACTGAAAGGTCAGTGCGTGCACAGCAGTGTTCACCTGGCAGAAGGAGGTTGGTCAGTACTAAAGAAAGAAGAAGGAAAGAAAGGAGAGAGAGAGGTGGCTATTAGGGAGTGAACTCACCACCATGGCATGGGTTGCAGCGCGGGCCCCGAGCTGACCAGGAGAGAGTTCGACCCAATCTACAACCTCCGCAGTTATAACAACCCTCTTACTTCTTTCAAGGCTGATATCGGGATTCATGATGCTCTCTGCCTCCTCCTCAGTCCTCGGCAGCAGCCCCGACAGGATTTGGGACCTCGGTAGCAGCCCCAGTGGGATTTGGGACTTCAGCGGCAGCCCCGACTGGCCCAGCGATCGACTCTGCTGCCGTTTCAGGCCCCTGAGGTGGTAAGTCCCCCTCCAAGTCTATCACGGGAGGGGCATTAGGGAGCTCAGGCCCCAAAGAGGGGACTTGCGGGAGATCGGGTTCAAGGGTAGGGGTCCTTGAGGGTTCCACGTGTGCCTTCTTGGCAGCCCGCTTCTTCCTCTTCTTCATCTGACGGAGGAGCCTTAGACCGGTAATCCTCTCTTCCTCCATAGGACCTGCAACAGAGCTCGGTGTCAGTAAAATTCGAAGACACTTGGCTGATTGAACAAAACGCTAAAGTGGAAATCAACCTACCCGGGCTCAAATCGGCCTGAATGAGCTTTTCTTCAGCAATGTAGTCCCTATGATCGAACCCGGCCTGAGCCCATGAATGAAAGGTCTCCCACGTCTTCCGGTTAAGAGCAATGTTGGGAGCTTGAGTGGCCACCCTCTAGTTGGTAAGGAATGGCCACTCCGTGCTGCTCCGGACTACAAAGTAGTCTTGCTTCCAGGCCGGGACCTTGCTTGGGAACTTGTGTAGCATTTTGAAATCCAAGCGAGGGGACAAATAGTAGGTCTGCCCGTGCTCGGGTGGAGTGCTAGAGGCACTCTTTTTTATTAACAGGATGGAACAAAGGATATCTGCGTCTAAAGGGAAGTTTTGCTCGGAACAGAGGGAGATAGTCCCGACTAGGTTCCGAATAGAATTGGGGTGGAGTTGGTCCAGCGTGATGCTGAAGCGCCTCAACACCTCAGGAATAAGGTGGTGGAGTGGGAGACGAAGCCCGCCAACGAGTTGTTCCCTGAAGATCACGATCTCATATGGACCGTGCTCCCAAGGGAAGTTGCCGATGGGAAGACTGTACGAGTACTCTTGGGGTAGGTTGAATTGCTGGATGAGGTGCTGAAGCCTCTCCTGCGTCATGACAAATGGACCGAACTAGTCCGGCACCCGACCTCGACGAGAGGTAGACGCCAGTTTGCCCGAGGTCACCCGAGCCTCGTGGGATGGACGAGCGACGACAGGGTCACCCCGACCCGAGGTACCCACCTCGGGTTCGTCTAAAAGACTGCCCCCGCTAGACATAGAAGGGAATGAACTGGGAAAAAAGGAGAAAGGGAAGCTCGGGGACTCACTAGGAAAACGACGCAATCAGACTAGGAGACCCGAGCTGAAGACCCCAGACGGGAGCTTACGGTAGACGAAAGGTACTTAGTGGCAAAAGACAATGACCAGGGTCCCTTGTTATTTATAGCCGATGGGCCCGTGCGCCAACGGCCAGGATCGAAGCGATCTAACGGTCCTCAAGAAAACCGGCTGTGGGACTTTCAAGGCGAAATCAGTTTAGCGCATTTTTTGGCGTCCGCGAAGTCCAGATCGCGTGACGTCCGCGCGTAAGCTATACGCGACCCAGGTCTTCCTTCCGAATGAACCGAATGCCGGAGCGGTTCGGCCAACGAGTCACCCGATAGGGTGGCAGGAGAACCAAGCCAAATCCACCCGGCGCGTCATGAACTCTCCACGCTGGGTCACCACCCACAGCATGGGGAGTGGGGGACAATTGATGAAGGGTGATTTGGCCAGACCTCATAGCCCGGGGACACGTGTATATGACCTGGCCCAGTGTACAACTCAGCCTGACAACACGACCGCAACTCGATGGGAGAGACACACCGAGTCCAATGCTAGCCACTTGGCGAGTTAAGCAACTCGCCGGGGATTGACGCCTGCCTAATTTTGACTTCCACCAAGTGTGGAAGGTCCTGAGCTCCCCCTAAGGGGCCCGGAGCTCTCCCTTCCCAAAAAGGAAGCACCCTGGCTCGTGGTTAAGTGTCCCGAGCACCTTGGGCAGCATCATCCTCCCTCCCCCTAGTGCAGGCACCTCGGCACCTTGATACAGGGACAAACTTGCCCCAGACAGTCCAGTGCGCGGTAGGCTTTGGGGAGCCCTGTCTGACATTTGTACCCACCGAACCCAGTGGCAGGGCTCTGATCCCTCGCCAGGTGGCGTTCTGTTTGCCTCCTCTAGAAGGCATGACACGTCTGTCAAGCCCGTACCTGGCAATGGCAGTTTGTGGCGACAACCTGCGCCTGCCACACCTGCTCTGGCAGTAACAGCAAGGGCGATGGTGGTTATGCCAGGTATGACCAAACTCCAACATAAAAGAACCTAAACCCACACAGAGATCGTCCATTCAAATCTGATAGCTTCTTCGGATCGTCCATATCTTTGGTGATAGCAGCTTTTCAAATCGTCCACAACAAAGATTCTGGCGAAGTTGATCATGAATTCTTGTCTACCCCAAAACATGATGCTCGATATTTACTCTACCTTGAATTTGATTTCTGATTCGTGCGTGAGCTCGAATCTGGAATGGACTCTATTGCTCTAATCAACTCTATGTTCTTCAGTAAAAAGGCCATTTTGAGCGATAGATTCAAGAACCCTAACTCGAAGATAGAGGCCTTGCTGTACAGGCATAGTTTTCTCAGTTTTTAGGGTTCATCTGGGGTTCAGTTTTGACTGAAAATTTGGAGATTTTTGAAGGGAATCTACCAATCTGGAGTTTGAATCCGGGGAAGAATGGTGGTGAAGATGATGAAATGGAAGCCATGACCGCCTCTGTTGCTGAAGTAATTTGAGGTGAAGCTGGTTTTGCTAAGGATGGAGGGGTTTCAGGTTGGGAAAAGAAATAGAAGGAGAAAAATAAGAAAGAGAAATATAGAGGGAAGAGAGAGAGAGATAAAAAAGGTTGGGGGGTGAAGGGGGTGCTGGTGTTTAGTCACCGCATCGAGAGGAAGGGGACGATGAATAGTCCCCTTCCATTGGCTACGGAATTCAAAGAGGGCAGACTGAAAAGGGCTTCAGAGAGACAGCGATGGTCGTCACTGCTGCTGCTTGCGATTTCTTCAACCTGCAGGTCACCTCCTTGTACTGTTTCTAATCTAAACCCAGATATGAGATTGATTTGTTTTTCTCCTCAAAGCAGGTGGCTTGCAGGCGGCAATTTCTTCAATCGCCGTTGCAAGCTCTCTCTTCTCTCTATTCTTCCCCTTCGTTCGTCAGCAATGGCGGCTTCGGCAATGTACCCAAAATGGAAATCACAGAGGACGATCTGGTGAAGAGAGAGAGAATTGTTTAGATTTAATGGAAGGTAAAATTGAAATTTCAACCCTTCCGTTAATTTTTAACCCTAATGGTAATTTTTTTAAACAGTAGGATAGTGTTACACAATAGCCGAATAATAGGAGTATACACACGATGCAGAATTCTGAATTACAGCTCCCTATTAATAATCCTCTCCCTCTATAAATCACATCCTACCCGTGAATTTAACATTAATTCACATACATTTTCCCTGTACTTTGGAACTATAAAATTCTGATCTGGGCTCCTATTTTTTTCAGCTTTATAGAATTTCACCGTCGTGGCAGCGGGATTTCATCGATATCTACCCCAACGAGTCAGAGAACGTACCAATTAAACCCCACCATCATTTACTTAGTTGAATTCGAATTTGCTCTTCAAATAACACTCCCTTAATCGTTACAAAACCCTCGCAACACTATGCAGCCACACACCCGGAACTCGTGTAGTCGTATATTATCATTCCCAATGCACAGTTGTGCGTGCTGTGAGGTTGCAGAAAAAAAAGTTCCAGATGCCCCGGTGGAATCTATCATTCATGGAGACTACCTGGAATCAATTATTTTAGGGTCAAATGCTTTGGATATGTTATAGACTCAAAAGATTCTTGACACACAAAACAAGAAAGATATGTAGCCAATGATTGAAGCCATGTACGGTGACTACACAATCCCTCTAGTGTTGCAATGCATTCAAGTTTGTAAGTGTAAATAGAGCCGTGCCACCTAGCATGATAGCACGTGGATCGTACTGGGTCAAGGGTTTCATGTTCATGGGCCGATATGGCACGTGGGCATAGCACGACTATGTATGTCATGCTTTTCGCAGCCTGCGTGTCGATACGGCCCAACATGTGGCACGGTATGGCCCACGGGCCAACAACAAGCCAAGTGCAGCCCATTTGAGAAAACTAGCGTCAGGGCCCTTGGGGGACCCCAAAACAACTAGTTTCAGCTTTTTAGGGGTATTTATTCATTTTGGCTTTGGGTGGAAGAAAAAAAGATAATAATGCCCCTCCATCAACTATATCTTATACTATATTAGCTAGTTTGGGACTTTGGGAGCATTTGGGTAAATTGATAAATGACTTTACAATGACTAAAGTATCCCTCCCAATAACTAAAAAATGACTAGTTTTTTTAGTATTTTGGGTAATTGAATTATTTTAAATTCCTATAAATAGCCCCATCCTCCACCATTTTTATCACACCAATTCAACAATTCTCTTATCAATTCTCATACTCTCTTAGTCTCTCATTTCATACTATCATACACTTAACAGTTTAAGAGGCTTTGAGGCTTCGATCGTTGAAATCAAATTGAGATTTTGAACCAGTAATCCAGCCATCAGGGTAAGTGCAATTAAATTAATTTTTATATTTTTAGAATTAAAAAAAATGGTTGGCTTCTCCTCCCAAAACCAATTCCCCAATAGTAAGTTCACTAGCCTGATTTGGAAAGTATTTAAAATAGAGGAGGTTGGGGGGAAGGGAAAAAGAGTTGTCTGCCAAAAATGTAGGATTGACTTTAGTTTCAGTAGCAAGGGCGGTATTGGCCACTTGGGTAGAAATTTGCTCTTCCATGAGAAACAAGAAAAAGACATCTACTTTAAAGATTTGCTAGATGTTGAGGATAAATTATAAGACAAAGGAGAGCATGACACTACTACACGTGATGAAACATATGATTAAAGTCAAGGAGATGGAGTAATTTTTTCTCAATTATATTTAAATTATTTGTTATTTTTTCAACAATGTACTTTTTTTTATATTTTAAATGAAATAAAATTCCTATTTTTTTCAATTTGTTGTCCATTTTGTTTTTTGGTAAGTATTTTTTTTTTCATTTCTTTGTTAGATTTTTTATTTTTTCAATTTGTTTCCAAAGGAAAATTAAGTATTTTAGTTTTACTTAGAAAAAAAACAACAAAAAAAACATCTAAGCCTTTTTGGCCCAATTCAGCCCAGGCCCAAGGCCTGACCCATAGCCCCACTCAGCATGACCTACAGCTAGCCCGGTCTAGACCTACAGCATGACACAGGCATGCAGGGCTCAGGCCGTGGTTCGACACGGCACGACCCGTTCTTTGTGTGGGTCATGTCGTGCCGGCCCAGCACGACCTGATTTACACCTCTAACATCATGTCCCATCAGGCCCCTCAGTTTTTTCTTTTTTGTGTGAAAGAAGAAGATTCATTAAAACAAGAGGTAACTAGGGATGGCAATTTCATCCAAGTCTCTAGTGGGTATTAGCCCCTATCGGTCTTGGGACGGGTTTTGGGATT